AGAGCGCTCTGGCTTTTTCGCGGCTGCGGAGGGGGCTGGGCCAGCTGCTGAGGAGCTGCTGGCGGGCTGCTGAAGCTCCGAGGATCCCCCAGGTTTCCGGTAAAACAGGGTTTAGGGTTTTAGGGCTTTTGGGTTTAGGGCTTATAGGGGTCGAGGGTTTAGGGTTTAGGAGTTTAGGGTTTAGGGGTTCAGGGTTTAGGAGTTTACGGTTGAGGGTTTAAGGTTTAGGGTCTTATGTCAAGCGCCTCCCCCTTGTAGTTTGAGGAGTATATACCTTCGCCTGAATCCTTTGTATATACCTTTGCCTGAAATCTTTGATTCTCTAGGTTGGTTCGAAACAATGATACTAAGGCCCTGATAGCTTGAAGGGACATGCCAACACCCTCAACCCTCAACCCTAAAACCCTAATCCCAAAGCCCTAAACCCTAAAACCCTAATCCCAAAGCCCTATAAACCCTAAAACCCTAAACCCTAAAGCCCTAAACCCTAAACCCTAAACCCTAAAACCCTAAAGCCCCAAACCCTCAACCCTGCCTCTGCTCTCTACTCCCTCGTCGCCGCCGCGCCCTCTGGGCCGACTCAGGACCTGGCGCCAAAGGCTCCGCTTCACCGGTCCCCCTAAAGCACAAAAAAGTTTATAGGGTTTAGGGTTCATAGAGCTTAAGTTTTAAGGCTTGGGGTTTGGGGTTTAGGGTTTATGGAGTTGGGGGTTTAGGGTTTGGGGCTTGAGCTTTGGGGCTTTTGGGGTTCAGGGTGTCAGGGGAAGCTTCAGGAGGATTTTGAAGGCGTCGTTGCGGCTTTGGGGGTCCTCTGGCGCCTGAGTGATTCACCACTCTGCTGGGGTTTCCGGACCAAACCCTGAACCCTAAACTCATCTCAAATCCAAGCCCTAAACCCTAAACCCATGTAAACCCTAAACCCATTTAAACCCTAAACCCTGAACCATAACCTTGACCTTCAACAGAATTTTTGTGGCTTGGTGCTGTTGGGCTCGGGTCGGAAGCCACCCTCGTCCGACCCGAAGCTGTCGGAAGCGCCCAAAGCCCTGAGAATCATCCATGAGCCTGGAAGCTTTTCTTGCAGGGCCTCGGGAACTCTGGGTTTAGGGAGTTGGGTTTAGGGTTCAGGCCCAAGGTGCACAAGTTGGATGCGAACTCTTTTCCGGAAGGCGCTAAGGACGCGTCGCAGCGGCGTCGGAAGCACGCAGCAAGCGGAGGGCACCCGGAACTCGGTTTCCATGTTCTCCTACTCCCTCAAAGACCCAAAGCCAACATCTAGTTGAGCCCATGCAAAACTCTCATGAAACCCTAAACCCTAAACCCCTAAACCCTGAACCCTAAACCCCGAAACCCTAAACCCCTAAACCCTAGAAACCCTATAAACCCTGAACCCTGGAGCCCCACGGCAAAGCGTCCCCGGCCCTCTTGGCCATGGTCGGGGCGTCCTTTCTTCGGAACGTCAAAGCAGTCTCCGAGCCGAGCCTCTTTCCCGCTTCATACACTCATCACTTGGGGAAGTCTGGGATCTTGTTAGGTGGTTTAATCTAAGTTGCCATAGTAGGGATCCATAGTAAATAATATGGTTTCCTTATTATGGTAACTTAAATTAAATCCCTTCATAAGAACCCACTTGGGGAAGCGTATGGGGGGCTCCACCCGGCTGCCAGGATTTCTCGGACCCTCCCTGCAGTTTGGGCAGGGGCTCATAGCCTATAAACCCCTAAAACCTGTTGTCCTAAACCCTAAACCCTAAAACCTTAAACCCTAAAAACCCTCAAAACCCGAAAAACCCTTAAAAGCCCTAAAACTCTAACACCCTCAAAACCCTAAAAACCCTAAACCCTAAACGCCCTAAAACCTTAAAAACCCTAAACCCTAAACACCGAAACAGCCCAATAAGCCGGTAAAGTCGATGACGAGGCCCGTTTCAGGTCGACCCCGTGTCTGCTCGGCTCCGAGACGCTGACATCTCTGCGCACTCCCCACCATGGGAGTGGCTCTCTAAGTTAGGGTCCCTTTTTGGGCTCGCTTTTAGGGTGTAGGGTTTAAGGTTTAGGGAATAGGGTTTAGGGCCTTTTAGGGTCCTTTTTTATAGGGGTGCCGTACTAGATGAGGGACCGAGAAAGGCACCCTACTTTAGAGAACTACCCACATCGAACGATCGAGAGCTGCGAAAAGCACTGCCCTGCCCCCTCATGCCCATACTTACGGAGCAACAGGGGCGCAGAGTGAGGATAGCTGAACTTAAGCGTGAAAGCCACCAAAAGTCAACCGAGACCCGCAATCCCGAAACTCTTCAAATCATTCAAACCGCACCTGCGAGGTCCAGGGCTGCAGACTCGATCTGGGCTTGCTGCAGGGCGGTCTAGACAAGTGCCCGACGGATCATTTGACTCTTTGGGAGAGCTGCTATACTATACAAGCATACTAGACTCGAAAATACAATTTTCTGAAATGTAGGATAATTTCAATAGATTACTATAGTAACCCCTTCGAATCTTCTCCGCAACGCTGCGCGTGCTTGCGGTGCTTCCTCACGATCTTCATCCAGATTGCCCTCACCGGTGCAAGGCTCACTTGGGTTCTGGCCTCGACCGCGTTTGATGCTGGGAGTTTCTTGGGCCGTAGGGTGCGGTGTAGGGCTTTTGGGGTTCGTGGTTTATGGGGTTTGGGGTTTAGGGCTTAGGAGGCTTAGGGTTTAAGCTTTGGGATTAGGGGTATAGGGTCCGTTTAGGGTTGAGAACCGAGCACCTCGCGAAGATCGGGATCAGGATCAAGAATCAAAATCTAAACCTCAGCACGGCAGGTGGTGCATTGGCTGTGGGCGGCCTCGACCGCGTTTGATGCTGGGAGTTTAAGAAAGGGTGCGATTTAGGGCTTTTGGGGTTTGGGGTTTAAGGTTTATGGGGCTTCGGGAGGGTTTAGGATTTAAGGCTTTTGGAGTTTGGGGGTTTAGGACTCAAGCTTTAGGGGTTGAGGGTCCGTTTAGGGCTGAGAATGATGTGGAAGCGGGCTTGCCCCACTGGTCCCGAGCTTTAGGGCTTTTGGGGCTTCGGGTTTAGGGTTCAAGAAGGTTTGTGAGGTTTAGCGTTTAGCATTTAAGGCTTTTGGGGCTTTGGGTTTAGGGTTTCGGGTTTAGGACGTTTAGGGAATTTAGGGGTTTAGCGTACGTCTAGGGTTGAGAATGATGTGGAAGCGGGCTTGCCCCACTGGCCTCGACCACCTCACGAAGATCGGGATCAGGATCAAGAATCAAAACCTCAGCCTCAGTAGGGCAGGTGGTGCATGACGGGAGTCGCCGTGCCAGCGCACCCTCTGAAGTCCCTCTCTCTCCGGGACCCCGCCGGGCCTTCCCCCGGTAGCTTCCGCGAGGGCCTCTGGAGGACAAGGCTTCGGAAACCGCACACGAGCCCTGCGAACCGCCCAAGCCTGCTCGCACCCGGCGGGGATGTTGTTTCCGAAGAGGTCAATTTCGCGAACTGTTGTGTTGCTCTTCAGAGCCTCTGCAAGCGCCTTGCAGGGAAACGGCAAGACAGCGGTGGCTACTGCTGGCGGAGCTTTGGAACCACCAGACCCCTCTGCTTGTGCCAATCCCTGGCACCACCGGGCCTTCCCACCCTTCACGCCGATTAAGTTGTTTTTGAGGTCGATGAAGGCGAGCGTGGAGTTGGTCTTCAACGCTTCGCAGATCGCCTCACTCGGGAAAGCAACCCTGCTCGGGCAAATCTGACCCGCCTGAAGAACCCGCGCCTCCGCACCCTCATCGTCGATGTCGCAGTGTTCGAGGCTGATGCTCGCGAGTGTGGAGTGGGTCTTCAACGCTTCGCAAAGCGCCTCGCGCGAGAAAACAACCCGGGAAAGCAACCCTGCACCAGCACTAGCCTCTTTGAAGCTCACCGGGCCTTTACGCTTTCCACGTCCATCCCACTGTCAGGCCGAAGGAAGCTCAACTCGCTGAGGTTGCAGCGTACATTCAATTGCAACGCGAGCTCCTGCAGAGTGAGTGGCACGCGGCTCCCCCGATGTCTGTTCCCTTGCTCGGAACGCACCGGTCCTCTATGCGAACTCGCCCCGTCCGAGTCTTTGCAGGTTCCGGAGCCTTATCTGCAGAGCCCAAGCAGGCGGGCACGGGCGCTGTTCCAATGTAGAACACTCAGAGCTGCACCGTGGCCGTACTTGCAGCCTGCCAAGAGTGCTGAGAACTTGCAATCTGGCCCGGCTCTCCCTCTACAAGTTGTCGTGGGTCCAGCTTGCCAGATGCAGGTTCAAGCTATATGCACCCAGGGGCAATCACAGAGACAGCCGGGTGGTCTGGGTGAAATCTTCTCCAGGGTGAAGGCATCCCACGGCACGCGCAGGTATCATGCGAAGGCATGCACCCGAGAGCCTCGGCCGCCCAAGAATCCTCGAGTAGGCACCTCTTCGTCTTCTGCAGCTCCGCAAGCACCTGCCGGGGAGAAGAACAAGCTCAAGTTTGAACGACTGGGCCACATCACCGCCTGCTCGCTGATGTCGTTGCCTTCGAGGTTGATGCTGGTGAGTGTGGGGTTGCACTTCAATGCTTCGCAGATCGCCTCACTCAGGAAAGCAACCCTGCTGCAGCACCTCTCTGAAGCCCTAGCGGGCCTTGCCACCCTCCACACCGATGCGGTTGTTTTTGAGGTTGATGCGGGTGAGTGTGGAGTGGCACTTCAACGCTTCGGCGATCGCCCCACGCGGGAAAGCAACCTTGCACCAGCACCGACCTCTTCGAAGCGTGATGTCGTTGCCTTCGAGGTTGATGCTGGTGAGTGTGGAGTTGCGCTTCAACGCCTTGCCAATCGCCTCACTCGGGAAAGAAACCCTGCTCGAGCAAATCTGACCCGCCTGAAGCTCACCGCGCCTCCGCACCCTCATCGCCGATGTAGCAGTCTCTGAGGTTGATGCTGGTGAGGGTTGAGTTGCGCTTCAACGCTTCGCAGATCGCCTTGCGCGGGAAATATACCCTGCTGCAGCAGCACTCACCGCTCTGAAGCCAACCAGGCCTTCCCACCCTTATTGCCGATGCGGTTGTAAGCGAGCTCAATCCTGGTGAGTGTGGAGTTGCTCCTCAATGCTTCGGCGATCGCCTCACGCGGGAAAGAAACCCTGCTCCAGCATGTTCCAGCAGCAGTGACCTCTTTGAAGCCCACCGCGCCTTCCCACCCTCACCGCCGATGAAGTTGCTTTCGAGGTTGATGCTGGTGAGGGTTGAGTTCGTCTTCAAAGCTTTGCCGATCGCCTCACTCGGGAAAGAAACCCTGCTCCAGCAGCTCTGGCCCGCCTGAAGCCCTACCGGGCCTTGCCACCCTCATTGCCGATGTGGTTCCGTTCGAGGTTTATGCTGGTGAGCGTTGAGTTGGTCTTCAACGCTTCGCAGATCGCCTCACTCGGGAAAGAAACCCTGCTCCAGCATGCTGCAGCAGCTCTGACCTCGCTGAAACCCACCACGCCTGCGCACCCTCGCCGATGTTGCAGAATCCGAGGTTGATGCTGGCGAGTGTGGAGTTGCTCTTCAGCGCTTCTCCAATCGCCTCACTCGGGAAAGAAACCCTGCTCCAGCATGTTCCAGCAGCAGTGACCTCTTTGAAGCCCACCGGGCCTTCCCACCATCCTCGTCGATGCGGTTGCCTTCGAGGTTGATGCTGGTGAGGGTGGAGTTCGTCTTCAAAGCTTCGGCGATTGCCTCACGCGGGAAAGCAACCCTGATCCAGCAGCACCAACCTGTCTGAAGCCCAAAAGCCTTTCCGCCTTCACTTCAAGTCAAAGCTGTTGACTCCCCCGCGCCTCCCATAGGAAACCATAGTCATATTCATGCCCATGGCCAAGCATCTCGGGCTCAGCGCCAAACCCCCTCAGGCCACGTATCTCGAGCTCGCGAATCGCTTCGTTCCGTGCTAGCGCCTGGCGTGCACACGCAGGCTCAAACGGTCTTAGACCTGCGAAGCACGCAATGCGCGCACAGACTGCCTTGGACCTGCGAAGCCCGGCCTGCGCGAACTCCCCTGCCTCTGCTCGGCCCACCTTAAAGTCCAGGAGCCTCAGCACCCTCAGCTTCTTGAAGTAAGGCAGGGCCTTTGCCAGCTGCCCCAGCTGCCCTCTGGGCAGACGTTCGAAGAGCGCCTCTTCGCACTCGGAGACTTTCTGGATGAAAACCTTAAACTGCAGCTTCTTCACCTCTTCGGCATCAGACCGATGGGTGAAGGCTGCCGAGTTCATTTCTTCTGCAAAAATCTCCGGAACCATGGGCACTTTGCCCAGCAGCTCTGTCGGCTCTTGCCTACAAAAAAAAGCACGTTTCTGTCTTGAGACTCGGGAGCATCGATCCAGCGGTTCTGTTCGGAATGGCTCCGGGCGGAGGACCACTCAACCTCCGCCTTGCACCACCCTCGATTTCTGTACAGAACACGGTTCGCAACCAGCTCTTTGAGCGGACGGTCTCGGACCGAAGCGCGCTCCGAGTCGTAGACTCGCACTCGATACTCAGAATTGTTTTGCGCCTCTTCCCAGACATCGTCTGGGGTGAGGTTTTCTATGCGGAAAGTTCGGGTGCACTCATGGGCATACAAGACGTGCATATCTTGCATTGACCGTCGAAAGCTCTCTTCTTCTGCGTCCGACTCCCGCTTGAACTGAAAGAGAGACACATAATCGTAAAATAGCCACACGTCCGAGAAGTAGGCAGCATCGAAGAGCGACACGACGTCAACCAGGCACTTCAATTGGTGGGCGCATGGATCGGGATGCTCCCGACTCTCCCAAGCGTGGGACACCGAGCAGATCATCGCATCCCGAGTTCCGGCGGCCCACGCCTTCACTTCTGCGTGCGTCACCAGGCCCCACTCCTCCTGCGCACGCTGTTCCGAATGCGCCCCGCACGTGCAGCGCAGGAAACGACTTGCAAACAAGTGCATCGTCTGAGGCTGGGTCGGCTTCTTGCCGTCTAGGCAAGAGGCTCTTCGACTTCAGCAGCTCGTACAAGTACCTGGAACCGCCTATATCCGACACCATCTCGCGAAAGAGCGACAGCTAAAGCAAAGGCTGACTTGGTGACACGATGTGACACGGGACATTAGCAGCTGACATTTTTTTCCGCCACATCCCCGGCGAGCACTCGGCCCGAACCAGGCGGATGTTGGCGTGGTTGAGGTACTCGGCCAAGCTCTTGGGATCCGTCAAGCCGTACTGGGCCTGAGGCATTGAACACATGGGCAGATCTCGAAGAGACTCTTGCATGTATAAGCACGACCAGATTGCATCGCATCGCATACCTCCTGGCTGGGCCGCTGGCAGATGTGGATGAAGGCGACTCCGGAACCTGCAAGCCGGGATTTAAGCTGTCATGGCCTACGTGCACGTCTGCTGCGTGCACCCTGACTCAATTTTGACGTCTGATTTGGACAGAATCATGCGCTCGAGCGCACGCTCCTGCCGGAAAAAACCTCCAGTGCTCTAGTTGCCATGGTTTCTGCACTGTCCACCCGCGCAAGGCCATCCCACTCACCTGCGAGTTATTGAGGAAAACCGCTCTCCGAATCCCGCACGACAAGCATGGGAAGATACGACGCGCGGATGGGAAGATGCTTCGGGGAAACTCGAAGCAGCGGTCCCCCGCCCAAAGTCTGAAACCACCGTGGCAATGTGCGAACTCTGCCCCGAAGCCAAAACTGCGAAGAAGCTGCTGAACGGACGGACCGTTCTGTATGTTTCACTATAGGAGCTCAAGGCCACAATTCCGCGTATCGAGCCCAAGACCCAAAACACGAAACCCAAAAACCCTGAACCCTAAACCCTGAACCCCTAAACCTAAACCCTAAACAGTTAAAAATGTAGGGCTTAAGAATGAATAGGGTCTGGGTGACGTTAGACTGTACGTGCAATCGGGGCTATAAAGGGACCATCTTGCTCGTTGCTCCGACCCTTTGTGCTGAACATGTGCAAGGTTTCAGTTTTAAGGAGGCGGGCAAAGCCTTCCTAACTTTAAGCACATAGTATGCACTTCAGCCATAAAGTCCCTAAGTCCTAGACTCCGAGACCCTAAACTTTGGCCCTAAACCCTAAACCGCACATACCCTTGGAGGCCTAAATAGATATAGCACACCAAGGCCTCGCCCATGCAGGCATCAGTTGCTGCGGTCAAACAGTTGTACGACGCAGCATCCACCGGCGGCTTTGGCTGGTCCTCCAGCCACGGGTTGAGGGTTATAGTGGGTTTAGGTCCGGTTCAGGGTTTAGGGTTTAGGGCTTTAGGTCCGGTTTTTTGGGGTTTTGGAAGATCTACAATCTACAGGGGATCCTTCGGCTAGGGAGGGTGACACTAGCCATAGGCTATATCCCCTGAGAAGCCGCTCGAAGAGTTGGTCACACACCACGTGATCTTGCTTTGCGCCCGCCCGAGCCCCCGAATGCCGGGGCTGCTCCCCTACGAAGAGGATGCTGACATCATCACCAAATTGGTCACCCACATGTCTCCCAGTTTCGAATCCCTTGCGCTGCGGCTCTCTCGCACTTTCAAGATTGTGGGCATTCATCCATGACTTCTTGCAGCACATACACATCGAGACTCTCGCCCCGTGCAGAACGCAAGTATGAGCCCTTTCCCGGAAATATGAAGAAAACTGCTGTTATCGAACCCTGAACCCCAAAAGAAAAAAAAACGCCCCGGCCTCAGCGATCACCACTTCCGCTGTGGGACGAGAAGGGCATTGACAGCAGCCTCGGTTGCTTGGGTCGTCTTGGGTCTAGCTTGGTGGGTGGCTGCGGCCACGGCTGTGCACACCGTTTTTCAGAGTGCTTCGTGTTTAGAGCTCCGGATTTCGTTCGCATCAGGCTCGGCCTGGAAACGGGCTGCCCATCCCATCGGAGGGAGATTTGTGACTGTCTTTCGCTCACCGACGTCGGTGTCAAAGCTTGCAAGCACCGGAACCAGGTTTGCATGCAGATCCGTGACACGCAGTTCTGTGTGATACGACAGACCCTCACAGACTCACATCACCAAAGTCACGCAGTCTGAGCATTAGGCCGTAACCGCTCAGCGGCATGCAGGCTGGGGCACGGAATCGAAGTGTTCAACCTACCGGCTTGAGCCAAATGAAGGACTGGAGAACGCAAATGAGAATGGCAGGCGCAATCTGCCAAGGCGGGCTGAGCTACCAATGTCTGGTATGTTATGACTGCCCTCAACTACAAGTGTTTATGGATCCTCCTCTCACTTGGCAGTTGGTACCAGCTAGGCAAGGATTTGGCACGGACATGTAAATGGTGGCATCGCGACCTCGAGCTCCAAGATCGATCCGAAGCCCTGATCCTGGCAGCGAAGGGGCCCCAAAAAAGGGAGATCTCTGCGGTGAAGGTCGAGGCTTCTGGGAAAGAAGCTGAGCCAGCCCTACCTCTGCCCCGGAGCGTGGGTCGAGAAATCCCACAAGCACGCACGAATCCGACAGCCTTCCCCCCCCCCCCCAGAATCACCTACAGCCGGTGGTTCTCTGATATCCTTGGCCTTCAGCCCGTGGCCTCATTGCCTCAAGCCTTCTTTGTCAGAATTTTGTTCAAGGTTTGGCGGTTTGGGGATTCTGGCTCGTGGGGTGCGGGATTTCCGGGGACGGTACTCGAAAGTGGGCAGGCCACCAGTCACCTGTCGACCACGCTTCTGCACCAGCGCCCGAAACTCCAGCACTGCAGATTGGGGAGTACGGTCTGGGGCCAAGGTTCTACAGATTTTCTACCTTCCCGGAAGAGACCCAAGCCGACGAATGCTATGTTAAGGCTCCTGAGTGCTTCGGCAAGATATAACCTAGCACTACCCAGACACCGGATGAGTTATGTCACAGTCCAAGACCACGAAGCTCCAACACCAAGAGCCAACTGTGGACTTCTGACAAATTTATGAAGACCCCAGTTGATAAAACGTATCAGTGATTCCACGATGAAGGCCCTGAAAGAAAGGCCGTCCATTGATCAACGTCGGCCTCCCCATCCTAAGCCACTAAAACCCTAAACCCCTAAAAGCCCCCAGGAACCGTAGACCTGAGGTGAAGCCCCAAACGAGACCTCAAAACTTGAAGGCTCCTGCCCTAAAGCCCCCAAAATTATATCTCTGAACAAAACGCGCAACAAAAGAACGAGGCTTCCCCAACAAGAAATTATATAAGCAACCTTATACCCCTCCATGCCTCCTCGATCTGCCGGCCGCCTGGTGCTGGAAACGGGGGGAGACGAAAGGGGGACGCTTCAAAAACCTGCCCAACTCCGCTTCTGCCTTAGGCGTTATAGGGCTACGTTTTTAGGGGCGTTGAGCAAACGGAGCGGGGGCCGAGCGCGGGCTGAGACCCGGCAGGGACCCAGCGCTTGCCCCAAGATTCGGCCAGATCCACGGAGTTTAGGGTTTAGGGCTTTTAGGGTTTTAGGGTTTAGGGCTTTTGGGGTTTTAGGGTTTAGGGGTTTTAGGGGTTAGGGTCTAGGGTTTTTAGGGTTTTGGGTTTAGGGCTTTTAGGGTTTAGGGTTTAGGGCTTTTAGGGTTTAGGGGTTTAGGGTTTAGGGGGTTTAGGGTTTAGGGTTTAGGGTAAGTGAAAAGTGCTTCCAAAGCTCTCGGTCATGCCCCCAGTGGCTGCCAGGCCGGCTCTGATTCTCTGGGAAAGCTTTGCTATTCAGGGTGGGAGAGAGAAGTAAACCCTAAACCCTATAAACCCTATAAACCCTATAAACCCTATAAACCCTAAAAACCCTAAAAAACCCTAAAAAACCCTCAAAAACCCTAAAAACCCTAAACCCTATATATGGTTTAGCCCGAAACCCTATAAACCCCAAACCCTAAACCCGGCCATCCTGCACCCTGGCATGTTGCTTCTGGCACATGGCACTCGCACGTTGCCCGCGAAGTTGGCTCAAATTCTGGCAGTCGGTTTAGGGTTTAGGGTTTAGGGGTTTAGGGTTTAGGGTTTAGGGTTTAGGGTTTAGGGCAGGGCCGCGCCAATGTGTCAGCCATTTTGTTCAGCGTTGGGCAAGGTACACATCAAGGAGCAGCGGCCGGGCGCAGACGAGCATCGGCGGGGTGTGGATGAGCATCAGCAGTCGCCTGCGGGCATGAGGGGCGGATGAGCATCATGAGGACGAACATCGAATGAGCATCAGCAGGCGGGCGCATTGCACGCAGGCGGCTGGTTGGGAGCTGGGTTCAGAAATCCTCTCGTGGGCTAAGGAGCTGGGCTATTTCCATTCGCTGGCTGAGGAGCCTGGCAGCTGGGGGGAGCTGCTTCCGGAAATCCCTTAACCTTGTCAGCCGGTTTCTACGGTCACTCACTACGGCAGACAGCAAAGCCTGAGCGACGACCGGTAATCCTTTTTTCCGGCTGGAATTAAAATTATTCCGGACAAACAGGGTCTGTACTGGGCTCAGCCTCTTTTACGGATTCCGGAAAGCCAAAAATTGCAGATTTTCGTGATTTTTCTGAGAGCTGTTTAAAGCCTCCGCGGAAGGTTTTTCAGCTGAATTGAGAGCTGTTAAAGCCCTGGCAGAAGGCTTTAAGGTGAATTGAGATCTGTTTAAAGCCTCCGCGGAAGGTTTTAAGGTGATTTGAGAGCTGTTAAAGCCGTGGCAGAGGGTTTTAAATTGAATTGAAGCTGTTTAAAGCCTCCGCGGAGGGTTTTCAAGTGAATTGAGAGCCGTGAAAGCCCTGGCAGAGGGTTTTGAAGTGAATTGAGAGCTGTTTAAAGCTTCCGCGGAGGGTTTTCAAGTGAATTAAAAGCTGTGAAAGCCCTGGCAGAGGGTTTTGAAGTGGATTGAGAGCTGTTTAAAGCTTCCGTGGAGGGTTTTAAGGTGTGGAGATTTCCGGCTGTACGTTTCCGTTACATACTTTGGAAGCCACAACCTGCGCTGGCGCATATTTCGGCGCAAGCCGTCTAAAATTTAGGGTTTAGGGGTTCAGGGTTTAGGGCCCAGTACCTAGGGCTCCTTACGGTTCCTTAATGTGAGGGGTCCATAAGAGGGTCCTAGCAGCTTAAAGGATCATGGGAACCTACGGTGGATGATATAGGGTTTAGGGCTTAGGGTTTAGAGGATTAGGGTCTTAGGGTTTGGGGTTTAGGGTTTTTGGGTTTTAGGGTTTAGGGTTTCAGGGTTTAGCGTTGATGATATTTATCCTGCATTGCCCATAATAAGGAATATACCATAATTCTCACAGTTTAGGGTCCTTAAGGTAATGCAGGATTTCAACCATCAACCTTAGGGACATACCCGGAGAACCCAATACACTGCAATTAAGGAATATACCTCAAATTATAGGGCCCTTCATACTATGATTTAAGGTTTACTCCGTAATTAAGGGGTACTGGGTTCTCTGGGTATGTCCCTAAGGGTCCAAGTACCCAAACAGTAGGGTTTGGGGCTTTAGGGTTTTAGGGTTTAGGGTTTAGGGTGTAGCCCTATGGGGTGAAGCACCCAAATAGTAGGGTTTCATTTGTCAGGAGGCTTTGTTCCCTGACCCCACGAATCTTGAAAAGCTTGTTCATGCAAAGATGAGCATGAATATTTTGGGTAGTTCTCTAAATTCGGGTCCTTTTCAGGGTCCTCTTGCAAGGGGTACCGTACTATACTACGAACTTAAGAGGGGACCCTTATTTAGATCGCATCCCACAGATTCACGAGGTCCAGACACGGAGACCCACAGAGCCGCATCATTGGCAGTGACCTTATCAAATCAAGTCTTCGATTGACTCATGGCCGCTTCTGCTTCAAGCTAGGAGCTCAGTCACCGGCTCTTACAATGGGCCCGTGATCACAGGGTTTAGGGTTTTGGAACGTATGCCAGCTTGCGGATGCTACAGTAGCCGACTTTTTGCTGAACAGCCCAAGACGTCTTCGGTATGAACGGTCGTTGATGCCCCTATACAGCATGCACTCTTTACACATCCTATACATGTGCGGCTTGCAGAGGCTCGATTACGTAGAAGATCAATGTGGCATGTTAAAATGGGGTCCTGACGACAGGGTACATTCAGAAGGATTTAGGGCTTAGGGTTTAGAGTGTACTTTGGGCCTGTGATCACAGCAGGGTTCTCAAGCCTTGGAATTTGTTGGATCCGTCTGTCTTTGGAAGTATGCAAACCCTCTCTCCAAAGCACTCTCAACTGATCAGTGCTGAGGATCTTGCACAAGATTATCAGCAACGGCCGATGCCCAAGACACTGCTGAGTGATGCAGCACCACAGGCACGGAAGGCCACAGATGCTTGCTGGCTGCAGTTGTTTCTTGAAACAGCTCTTGCAGATCCAATGCTCCACTACTCATTGGTAGCAGCCTAGGCCATCAGTCTTTGGCCCGATGCTTTCAGGATTCAGGTATGGAGGTCTGGCAAAAGCATTATCACAGCTTGAGAAGGGCTCGCAAAGCTGTTCAGCGAGGAGTTCTAAAACCAGCTCTGTTGGAATGTGATATAGGACATCATCAGACCTGCCCGTCATAAGTCGTAAGGCCTTAGATTTCCACCTGTCATGGGTTACGTTGTTGAAAGCCGCCTTCATCACAGGAGACAAAACAATATCTTTGCAACCCCTGGCACAAAGCTCAAAGGACACATCGTGCACTTCTTGCCTGCACCAGTGTAAAAACAACACGACACTTTTGCGAATAGTAGTCCATAAGGAACTGCTCGATGCTGATCTAACTGGCTCACTCATACGAGAAGTGTCTCATGTAGATGTTCAATTGCTACAATACGCCCGTAGACGCAAGATGCTCGTCTTGCTTTCCTGGGGGTTGTAAGCTCCTACCGGCAGGCTTCCACAACCACTGAAGCTTCAACTACTGAAGCTTGGCTACTCGGTGCTCGTAGCTGCTCGGCATGCAATGTTCCACTCGTCAGGTTTGTTGAACCTGTAAGTCGCATCGTTGGAAACGATCTCCACCATGTAGTTCACGCCTGACCCCTCCGGCTGCAACTCGAAGGGTGTGATGTCCGAGGTTACCGACTGTGGATTCACTGAGGGTCCCTGAGACGCCGTGCAAACGACATCTGACGCAGAAACGCTGTCGTCGTACTCACATCTGCTGCCTACCGGAACGAAGAGGCGGCCCTCCTGCGGGTTTTGCACGATGAAGACGAAGCTGCAGTCCAAAGCCGTGGAGTCTTCAAGTGCCGCATTGCGGCTTTGAAGGTCCTCAAGCTCACCCTTCATCTGCCAGAGCAGCCACTCCGGAAACTTCTCCTGACTTGCGGTGGTGTGGGCAGCTGGCTTTGTCTGTAGCTGGGAGTTCTCATCGCCTTCCATCCCGGCAGAATCAAGATGACCACATCCCTCAGCTGCCGAAACCTGAGCCAGATCTCCCGGTTCTTAAGACATTGGGCTTCATAGGTACTGGGTTTTAGAACTTGCTTTAAGGTGCACTTGGGTTCAGGCTTTAGGTTTAAAGTGATCTTTCGACCGATATTTCAAATCCCAGGCTCTGTCGTCGCAGCGCTTGCGGCGGCAAGGAGACAGAGAAGAGGAGCGGCGAGGTGAACCATGGCACTTGCTACTCTGTTGGAACTTAAAACGGAGACGCAGTGCCTCGCCCAGCAACTGACCACGAAATGGCTGCAACGTGGCTCTGGCTTGGCCCTGGCGTCACCCTAGATTTGCCGCCGGCATTCAGGAATTTCCCGTTGAACTTCCAAGGCAAAAGCCCCAATAACACACAACACATGGACACCCCAAACCCTCAAAACCCTGAAAACCCGAAAAACCCTAAAAACCCTAAACCCTTGGACACCGGACACTTGGACCCGTCACGACTCAGAGAAGGGTCACCATGAGGTTTGTCGCTGCCATGTTAAAGGAATCTACAGGTGGGGAGTTTGGGGTATATAGGGCTTCTATAAGGCTTCTATATTGTATATAGACCTTCTATAAGGCTCCTATAACAGTAACTACCCACCTGAAAATGTCCTAGACCATGCACAGCAAACGCGGAAGAAAGCTGCATGGCGAGCTGAGCGTCCAGCTCGCGGCAGTTTCCTTCTGGCAATCGCCTCCGGCTGGCAAGCTCCTTAAACCCTAAACCCTTTCTAAAACCCTAAACACTAAACCCTAAACCCTAAACCCGAACGCCTAAACCCTAAACCCCTAAACCCTAAATCACACAGAGCTCCCACATAGGATGCCAGAATCTTTGGCCTTGCCAACTTCCCCCCGCTGCCCAACTGTTGGCTTCCGGCCAACACGGACGGCTTCACAGAGGCAATTCATACAGGGGGCCTAGATACTAAAAATTAGGCTTTAGGGTTTAGGCTTTAGGGTTTAGGGTTGAGGGTACTCTAATTAGCATAAGGAACCCCCCCCACACTATAATTAGGGTTTTCCTTTTTTGTTGAACTTTTCCTTGGGCCTGCCCGATCCTCCAAGCAAATCCAGGAGACTTAGGGTTTAGGCTTTAGGCTGAGGGCCTTAGGGTTTAGGGTTTAGGGTTTAGGGTTTAAGCTTTAGGGTTTAGGGTTTAGGGTACTATAACTAGCATAAGGCACCCCCCCAAAAAATAGTGTTGTTCCTTTTGTGAAAGAAAAGCCGATCTTTTGATCACTCAGGGCTGCATACGATCATGTCTGCTCAACGCACTGCAAAACATGTACAAAGGGCAGGGTTCTCCTGTAACACCCCACCTCGGAATTCGGTCGGCTTTCAGTACCGATTTCCGCTCTGGAGAAAACCCTGCGCCTGCTACCCTATACAGTCGCGGCACGGGGTGTAAACTTTCACCTGCGAGTTTCTGAGGTGGTTGCAGGTAGGGAGGTGGAACCTTTGTCCTCTCGAAGTAGCCACAGCAACCTCTGCAGGTTCCCGTCGTCGCCTCAGATTCTCGATCCTCTGCTGCAGCTGTCGGCTCTCGCTCCGTGCGTCATACAAGGCACGTTCCATCTCCCTGTTCTCCCTGCACTGTTGGGACTAGCTCTCGGAAAACTTTTGCTCGGACCGGCTCATGCCCCGGTTGGCTTGCACCTCCTTTTTGCACCTGGGTGGTGGTGGAGGTCTGGCTTGCTGCCTCTGCCGTTGTCTTCCTCCTCCGGAAAAGGGCTCCGAGACTCCACTTAAGGAGCCCCAAGAAACCAAACGGCAAAATGCCGATCATCAGGAAGGTCACCCCGATGGCCACGATGGTCACCAGGTTCGCTGCTGTCTCCTCGTCCACGAAAAGCCCGCCATCCTGGCCCAAGCCCTGAGCCCTTCCAACTTGTGAAAGGAGAAGCACCAGAGGGACCAGCGCCTGAACCTGCGTAACCTGGCTGGCGCTGAGGGTCTTGAGGTTCTTGATGGCCTTGGTGGTCTCGCGCTTCTGTCCTGGCATCGGCGCCCACCGCGCCCATGGTGAAAAGAAGTTCTCGCACCCTGGTTCCCGCAAGCGGCTTTGTCCCCAGGTCGCTCGGGTTCTCGACCCCAGGGATGCTTCCAAGCTGAAGCTCCTTCTTGCGCACTGCCTGCTGGATCCAGAGCACCCCGCAGTGGAGGTGGCGAATTCGGCCACATCCTAGCCGCTGGCATATGCCGCGTCCGGCTGCTGAGTCGCTCCTGCAAAGAATCGTCACATTGGCCCGGCCATTGAGCATGAAGCGGAGGCAGTCGGCAACGTAGATCGCTTCACAGGCCCCCGCAATCATAGCCAAGAACTCGCTCTCGCCGGAACTCAGTGAAATGGCCTTCTGGGACCGCACAAGCGACCCAATCAAGGATCCGCCCAGGAACAGCTGGACAGCTGTTCTGCTCCTTCTTGTCCTCCTGCAGCCTGCCCAGTCGGCGTCAGTAATGCTTTCCACGACGTAGTTCTCGACATCCCCGGTAGCATCATAGGGCATACCCGAACTTGGCATCAGTGACCACAGGCTTTATGAGGAAGCCCAGGTCCGGTGCGCCAGACAAATATCCAACCACCCGAAGAAGCCACCGGAAGCTCGTTGAGGTGGGCTTCGCCATCTTGCTCGACAGGACGCACACCACGAACTGAATGTCGGGTCGGCTGTGCGACAAGTACAAGAGCCGGCCAACACACTCGCGAAAGGTGGCAGCCTTGGTGGGCTCTAGTTCTGCCGAGTCGTCAGCCTCCTGGAAGGAAGCATCTGCTGCACTGTCCCGCTTCTTGATGTTCGGGCCGAGGGTCTCCACGAGGGCCTCAAGGTACCTCCCATTGGAATACATCACAATGCCCTCCGGGACCCTCACGTACATCCTCTTGAGGAAGCTGAACTTGTCGCCCTCGGCGACCATTGGCTCCCCCACCTGCACCGTGAACTTTTTGCCAAAGACCTTGAGGATTTCCTCTCTCTCCTTCTTGTTCGCTGCAAGGAGCCCGTCATCGGCGTGAAGGATCATGGTGCTCTTGTTGTCGAGGTCCTTGTGCCTAAAGAGCGTGGGCTCCTTACCAAAGTTTGTGAGGTTGGCCTCGCCCAAGACCGAGCTGGCGAGGTCGTACCAGGCGCTCGCCCCAATGCGTTGCCCGGGGAGCAACTTGTCCAAGACCAGAGTCATCTCGCCCGGGGCGCCATCACTGAGGATACTGGCCTGGACCTTGATGATAACCTTTGTTGGCTGGTCCACGTTCAAGTACGCGTCCTTGATGTCGAGCGTTGTCAGCTCAAGGTCATTGGTGAGGGCGTAGCTGACAAGAGCATGGGTGATGGCCAACGACGAGGCCGGCGCGAAGAGGTCGCTAGTCCATGCCGAGGTCGTTCTGAATTCCCTCGCCACCAGCCTCGCGCGGCGAAGCCAATTGGGCCGCCGCCGCCAATCATGAACAAGCTTTGTCGTCAGGAGCTGGCGCTGGCTTAAGTCTTCGCCCTCCTTGGGAAACCTGGCCACGCCCATGTCCTGTTGAGAAAGCTCGGGTGGCCGCTCGGCTGTGTCGTCCCACCACGCCTCAAAGTGGTCCTCGGCCTGCAGGTTCTCGCTCTCCATCGCGTCGTCCAGGATCTCGGCCCAGCTGTCAAACTCCGCCTCCTCGGCTGGAACGTCCATGCTGATCCTGCTGTAGACCTCGTTGACTCCTGCAAAGCCAGGTGGGTATAGGGATGACCCCGCGGCGGGAGAAGCAAGAGGACTTGGCGTTGCCACGGCAGCTGTCGCTGATCACTGCCTGGGGGCCCATGCGGTTGAAGTGGTTCTTGTGATTCCACCTGTGGTCTCGTTGGCTGTTGCTGTCCTTCTCCTTGCGCCGGTCGCCCTTCTCGGTCGGTTGTGGTAGAGGAAGAACCTGGGGAAGTGGGGTCGCTGGCTGCCTCGTCATCGTTGCTCCGGGCTCCTTCTCCGGCTTCTGGGTGCATGCCAGGAGTTGCTGCAGCTATCGATTCAGCTGCGGCCTGGCCCGCCGCGCGGGCAAGCTGCTCCAGCGTGGCCGTGTCAGGCAAGATCGGAACCCGGCCAGCCGCGGCGGTATAGAGCGGTCTTTTGCGTCTGCCGGTACCCATGTACGACCATGGCAGGCCTTTCATCCCCAAGACCATTTCGGCATTCCATTGTTCTTCGCCAGGAAGTCGGCGAATAGAGCGCGATTCGTAGACCCCGTCGGGCGTGCCAAGGATATGCGCCCCATTGCGTTCATGGACACCGAGGTACACTCCTCGAAGCCATTGCAAATCTCCTCGATGCTTGCTCGCCTTGTGAAATATGACGAGCTCGCCCAGCGGCACAAGGTGGCCCTTGAAGGGCCGGCCAAAAACAACTTCATAGCTTGTGGCCCCCTTTGGCGTGACTGCAAATCTGTTGTACAGGAACCCCGCGTGGCGCATGATCCACGGGAAAAAGTGGTGGTGGCCCTCGACCTTTGCAGCAATGCGCTTTTCCACAAAGGCCCGCAGCGTGAGGCCATTGGTCCGGATCGTGCTGATGGCTTTCTCCGCTGCACCGTTCGAGGCGTGGCTCTCCTTGGGAACCCACTGCTTGGAAGTCGGGAGCCCCAACCGGCTGCGACAGGCCTCGAAGGCATTCATCACCTGCTTGATGGAGGGCTCGGGGTCCCCTTGAATCAGCACCTGCTCGCCCGGGGACACCTGCATAGAAAGCCGGACCAGCTGCTCCACCACGCGCTTAAGAGAGCTTGACCCCTTCTCCAAGACAGGTATCGCGAGGATCCATCCCGTCGAACTTTCGGCTGCAACGAGGGTCAAGGCAAACTGGTCCCGGTAGTCAACGGCATCCTTGCCCGGGTCCTGAAAGATCACGTCGCCGAAGTTGGTGTCGTTGGGCTCGGCCGTCGGTCCTTCCCCATCTTGGCCGTCTGGTCTGCCTTCTCCCTTCTCCTCATCGGCCCCTATCTCGTGGCGCTTTTTCGTAAAGGTATAGCAGTAGTCGATCTCGATTTTGGGGAATTTCCTCACCTCCTCGACCGGCTTGTTGGGGTCGGCCTTGGGATGAGGTGTCTGGCGAGACCGTCCGAGGAGACAGGCCTCGCACCATGGAGCGAAGGGGTGGTGCGTAATGTTGTGAAGCTCTTGTTGGCGGGCGCTCGGGAGAACTGGGACCTTCACCGGCTCCGGCTCGCGCT